TTGCCGTGGTGGACTTTGACAACCTCATAGTGACTTTCGACGTAGGGGCGCCAGGCTCAGTAGGTGATGCTGGGTATTTCGCGCAGTCCAAAATCAAAGTAAGTGGAATACTATGCATCAGTTAGTGGTCTGCATTGCTCTTTTCCAGCGTTTTTTCGAGAGGAACGAGCACGTCTTCCCCCCACGAGACATTTGGGAACTGTCGGGCCGGTGCAGTATCACATATTGATCGACAGCGGCTTTGGGCAAGGTTATCGTTATGTTAGACCGTACTCAGGAGCGGATCCTCTGACGCCCAGCCAAAGGAGATTCAATCGAAAGCATAGCCGGTGAGTATAGATCTTTCCGTCGCTTGGAGTTACTTAACGTCATTTTTCAGCGCCCGTGCAAAAGTCGAGGCAACGTTCGGTGTGCTGAGCAGGCGCTTCCTAATCCTCAGTAGGGCTATCGAATTGGAGCCAAATCGCGTGATGGAATTGGTGGCATCGCTGCTGGTGAGGATCACCTCTCAAAACACCACACTTTTGAAGACAACTCATTTTAGTATCGACTTTTTCAGGTTCTCCACAACTGGATAAGAAGAAGAGAACTGGGAAGAGAGGAACCAGCGAGACCTGCAGCTAATCCCGACGAACCCCGCCTGGAAGTCGCGGCGAGACGAGGACCAGACTTAGCAAAGATTGCAAGGGAACGAATTAGGCGCCACTACGACCGTATGTACAACCCCATGTGACCACATTAACTTAATGTATATTGTTAAATAAATGCTTTTATAATGTTTTAGAATAAATGTTTCTTCTACTAACCTCAATCTGTTTGAGGATATTCTCCAACATACTCCTCGTGAACCACTCCCTCGTTTCCTTGGCTGCAGTAGGTATAGCTAAACAGCACTTCCAACATTTGCCTCATTTTCACATCTGCCGTATATGCGTCGAATCTCTCCCGCAGATGTTGCGCGACGAAATCTCCTGAAACCATGCATTGTCTATATACGAACAGTCCGAGCAACGCAAATCCTTACCGAACCCTTGAAACGAGTCTACTGTAGGATGCTGTTGATGGCGCGAACGCTGCAGATGTTCGTCGACTCTTTCGATGGTTGCTTGCACCTCTGTCGATGGAATGTTTTGCGATGGTAATATTTCGCATCCATTAATTACACGACTCACCATCCTCACTTCCTTTCTTTTTTTTTCCCTACGAGACTTTGAAGGACTGATCGTGGCGTTCAGTGCACTCGGAAGAATTGGACTGATCCTTGCTTCATGCCCGCCTCGGTGTCGCCGATGAGTTCTATATGCAAAAGGCTTTTGTAAGACTTCATAATCTTCATCTTTAAAATTCAAATCGAATGTCAAACTTCACCACCCCCTGACTTACTTCTATTTTTCCCTTTCATTCGTGGCTGAGGGGTCGATTGGTGTTAGTTTTGCTGCACTTGGTTGAGACTGACGGCTCTTGGCTGACCAGGCTGATTTTCCTGCGTGGTGGCCATCAAATCTACAAAGGATAGTATATGATATAGTATATATATATGAGTGGATCCGGTGATCTCCTCTGCGCTTATGTAAAGACCCACCATCACTTTCCCTTCTCCCTCTTTTAGGTGCAGAAGTCTGCAACGGGGGAGTGGCGTTTTGACTAGCCACAGAACTCGAGTCCAGTTCCATACTCATTCTATAATTGCCTCTTTCGTGTGTGCTCGGGACATGTCGATATGGTGGGGCTATAATATAGAAACGTCATATGATTCCACCCGGAAAACTTCGGTTTTGAAACGCACCCGTCGTGCTGATTCCTTTCAAGAAATCGCATGGCCTGCAAGTACGTCCATTGCGGCCCCGAAGCAGATCCCGTAGTTGGATTGTTTTTCCTTCGATACGTGTCTTTCAAGTTTTTCCACATATTCTTGAGCTCCGCCACTGAATTTTTAGCAGTAATCCACGAATGGCGCTAATGTTCAAGATCCCCAGACGGGAACTATGGCATACCGTTAGTTCTGTGGCCTAGACATTCCAAATCCTGCTGAATGCGCTCCCATGCGCTTTCAACTCGATCCCTTCTGCCGTAATCAGGCGCGCCCTTGTACCAAATGCACTCTTCCATTTCCATCAGGTCGATTAGTCGAGCACGCAACGAAACATGAGCGGGCATCCTTTGAGCACACCACGTAATGTTCTACAACTGCGTACGTTGTGTTACGCGAATGCGTTGTGTTACCAAAAACATATATGGAGTGTTGCGTGTAATGTTCATATAATTGTGTTGACTGTTATCTCCTGATTGAATGTAATGAAAGAAAGGTGAAGGTAAAGGAATGGTGAGGTAAACAAAGGTAAGTAAACAAGAGTTAAGAACCCCACAAACAAATCAGGCAAACTCTAATATAAATACTGGTCTACCAAAACACTTTGTTGCAAACGTTGCACAATTACCTATTCCCACGCTTTTTATCTCTGTGCAAGACAAGCAAACAAACGGTGCAAACAGAAACTAATCACCATATACATCCCACTACCACCCCCATTCCACACTTTGAATGGGTGCATTACAACCACAACAAAATCACTACATGCAGAGAACATTTCGCACACTATTAAGCGTTGACCCTGCTCTACTTCTACAACAAGTATGAAAGCTCTACGAACGATGTCACTACCTGCTCTTCTTCTTCCTTCGCTTCGGTCTTATTCAACGGCACCAGACACCGACAAATGCGTTTAAATAAAAGCATAACCCTAGAAAACAATAATTCCATGTGCGGGTCTCATTGAAACTAGGCCGTTTAGGAGTAACTTGCCCTTGTTCAACCTGTTACATACAGGATTCTAGCTACAGAGGGTGTGCAACTTGTTTATTTCGGTCGACAATGTGACGCCGTCTTCTTTAGGGACTCCGCATTGGCAGGAGCCACTCACGTTTCTTGGGGACCAGTCGTGCATGAAAACAATTATTTCGGCCGGTATACAATAACCGCAAGAGAACCTCCATAAGCCAGAAGTACAGCAGCAATATCAAATAAACAAAACCCCACAACCAACCTCTAGCTCTATTGTTTCCTTACAATCAGTAATTGAATTACTGCATTAAATCAAATAACGAAATAAATGAATTAATGCCTGAGAACCTATCAGAAATGATATTGCAGAAAGGAGAGCCTCTAAATTCAAATTACAATCGTCACCCGTTAAAAAAACGGCAGTACAAAATTTTGACTTTCAATTCAAAGTCCCTTCAAAAAAACCCATGTCCAACATTCTATCGGCTTCATCAAGCACTAAGTAACGGCATACCTGAAACGTAGTATTTCGTAAAAAAGCACACAACTGTGGAAATTTCCCTCCCTCCAGCGCTAGTAAATTATCCAAGAAAGTCTTTAGCCCGCCGAGCTCTTAGCAAAATAATTAACCGTGGCAAAGTTCGGGCCAATAGAGCATTTAATCTGGACAGACATACCTCCAAATTAAAGATCTTCTTTGTAAGCATATCCGGCAAACGGCCAGGCGTAGTAACACAGACATGAACACCACTAAAATACGACCGTTCTGAGAGAGAGATAATGAGTGAACAAAGGCGCAACCATGTTCACTTCCTTCTTGAAGACCTGAGCTTGCTGTCGGACAGGAACGCCGCCAATGCATAGTCCTGCCTTCACTTGAAATAAATCCACAATAACGTCGTAAATCTGCCTGGCCAATTCTCGCTGAAAAAGTCTCATCCATGCAAAAGCAAGATATCGTACATCGAGACACTTGAATTGTATATACTAAATAGCATCAAAGATATGATGCACAGATCACTTTTGAAAGAAAAGAAAATAATTCGAAAAGGAGAGCCGATGAGGACTCACCGATGCAACGCATGAAAACAAAGACCCATAGCAATCTTCACGTTCGACCCGTGGCCAGCATGTACTCCGCTCAGGCGCAAACGATTACAATGGCGAGACAGCGAACGGTCAAATGTTTAAATTGCCTAGAACCGTTCACGCTATAATTGTCAATCAAAGTTAGGTTCCCGACGCACAGAGGATGCAGACGAAGAAAGACATTTAAGTACGGAGAGAAATGAGTACAGCTCTCATTTAAGAAAAAAATCGTAAAATAATCAACTTGAACATGATACAGTATTAGAAAAAAGATCTTGCAACTTTAAAAATGAAAAATCAAAGAAGAAATCTAACCTGTTGACGCTATGCCAATCGTATCCCGACCACAGAGGCTGCAACGGAAAGAATTTGTACGGAAAGAAATAAGTACAGCTCTCATTTAAGAAAAAAATCGTAAAATAATCAACTTGAACATGATACAGTATTAGAAAAAAGATCTTGCAACTTTAAAAATGAAAAATCAAAGAAGAAATCTAACCTGTTGACGCTATGCCAATCGTATCCCGACCATAGAGGCTGCAACGGAAAGAAATTTGTACTGAAAGAAACAAGTACAGCTTTCATTTAAGAAAAAAATCGTAAAATAATCAAGAACATGATACAGCAACATGATACGAGTAGGTAGAAAAGACTGCTGCATTGGCCGATGTCAGAGTCTGCGATTGGAGCGATCGGTCAAATGCCAATCGCGCGACCATCGCGCGATTCGCGCGACGATCGCGCGATTGACATGAGTCCCATCATGACCAATCGCTCCAATCGCGCGATGGGCGCGATCACTCCCGTTGTGGCAGGGAGCGCCAGCTCCGCAGTCAACGTATCGATCGAGGGGGGCGCGCCATTGATCGCTCCCTGCCACAACGGGAGTGATCGCGCCCATCGCGCGATTGGAGCGATTGGTCATGATTTGAGAAATGTGCCAATCGCGCGACCATCGCGCGAATCGCGCGATGGTCGCGCGATTCACATTTGACCGGATCGCTCCAATCGCAGACTCTGACATCGGCCAATTGGGAGATGATAGCCTAGCCGCAGCTCCGCGTGTGTCAGCGTATCGAGGTGCGATGGAGAGAGTCGCAAGGCCAGCCACAACGGTGGGGTGATCGCGCGGGTGTGTCGTTCAGTCACTGACGCTCAGTAGAACTGTACTCGTTCAAATAAATGATACCTTTTCAGATGAAAAGCAGTTGAAACGTGGCGGGGGTGATCACACAAAAATGACCGGTTAGAAAAAGAAAAGAAAGAAAACCGCTGGCGAGAAGTCGCCATCGAAAAAGTATTGTAGCTGCTTCAGTTGCTGGCACGAAAATGGAGAGAAAAGTATTCGAAAAAATCAAGTCAGAAAGTAAGACTAGGGTGTAGTGTACTATTAAAACCTAATTCTTACAGGCTCCTCGGAGTTAGCTATTCAATCAGTGACCAAAACTGTTGAGATTTTATCAATTTGCAGTTTTTTTTCATAGGCATTGCAGGAAAGCTATGCTTACATGAAGTACCAAAGCAACAGACGTCATGAGAAACAACACATCGAAAGTGCCACTAAAGCAGGGAAGTTCACTAGGAATAAACTGTCTAACCTTCATACATCAAATTTGTATGTTTAATGCTGTAAATGTGATGGTACGTGTTTCCAGAATGTGCTATGGCAAAGAGCATTAAGCCTTTAAGCCACCTAAACGAAAACTGCGCACCCGAAAGGGCTTTCTGCACCTTTCACAGAAGGTAGCTGCGTTTTGCGCTGTCTGTTTTATGGATGTGAAGCGGAGCCAGCCTCATACCTGCGCAGTAGAGAATTGAAAAATGACAGTTAACTCATGCCAACGCTCAAAAATGTATTTTGCTTGTATGTAGTGGGATAATGTGATAGAAACGAACAAACTGGAGTACAAGCAGTTGTAGGGTATGTATTAATTGTGCTGAGACTTCTTGTTTTGGTGAGCTCTGAAGAGCCAGCTTGTGCTCGCACCTTCACATGTTTTTTGCTACACCCTCATTCAAAGCTACCGGTCTGTTGTGTTAGCCCTCACTTTACTATTCGGAACAAATTTCTGTTTAGATTGTTGCCTGTCTAGCCACAAACACAGAAAACAGTTCCCGCTCGATATCCACAGGTGCTCTGTTGAGTTGTTTGCATATAAAGAGTTATTTGTATAGCATGGTAACTAGTTGGTACACCTGCATTGAATACTTGGGTGAAGTCAATTAAAGTGACCGGGCTTTCGTTCCAGTATGATTGCTTTTGATTTTCTTCCGGGCATTTCTGTTTAAGGCCTTACTTACTTACGACACTCATTTTCCGCAATCGTCTTCATTTGTTACATATCAGTGTAATACAGGTCCCGTCTCGTTTATATCACTCCATGAATCCCGGTTTGTTGCTCTGCTCCATGGTCAATGCAGGCAAGACCAGCGAGCGTAATAAAACTTGGATTTGAAAATTGCTCAGGTGCTGGGATGGGGTATCTCTTTTCCTGTTTATGCTACGACTCAGCATAACCTCAACTTCATGTACGACCACATCGTCCTATGAAGCAGTCCCGAGTGGACTCATTGGTAGGCCGTGATATGAATAAGATCTAATCACAATCATAGAGCCATTATTCTACTAGTAAATATTTTGCTCAAACATAAAACGTAGAGCTCGTTACTGGGAAAAAAGCAAATAAAAATACTGCCAACACTGTGAGCAAAGCCTTTCTTTGCTGTTACTGCTTTTCCTGTTTTCAGCATTGTACTGCAAAGTTACGGTGAAGAAACACTAGGCTCTGGAGCGAAACAGCAGAAAAGGCGAGCGAGACGAGCGATACTTGCTAACTACTATTTTATAGGCCCAGGGTAGCCACCTTAGGCCTATAAATTAACTGAGAGGCAGCGCCAGGCATGTAACCGCATTGCGCGTTCTTTCGCCCCTTTGGGTTGCGGAAGTGACTTTCCCAACCAGGTGCGACCTATTCATACATTCAAAAAATATTATTCAAT